GTGTAATATATTTTTAAACTTCTAGTTTAAAAATGATAAAAACTGAACATCCTACAGTATTTTTACTGTCTTTATTTTACAGTTAAAATATATGTTTATCACATAAAGTCTAATGTTACAACTATTCGGGGATCCCTTTAAGTAAACAACAGGCTAGCATGAGCTAACATGTTTTACTTTGTATTAGTAATATTGATCACGTATTTGCATACAAATTAATTTCTGTTGTGGATATAAAAACACAAACAAACAAACAAACAAACAAACAAACAAAAAGAATCTGTTATGTTTGGTCACATTTTCAAAGAGCCACTGTAGAGGGACCAAAGAGCCACATGTGGCCCAAGAGCCGCAGGTTGCAGACCCCTGATCTTGAGGGATCTTTCCCGAGCATTTTAACCCTACACTATAAAATTTTACAACTGCTTCTTGCTCTGTACACAAAGCTATTCATCATTTAAACCTAATAAAATTTTAGTTTTCATGTTTTAGTACTTTTTTTAAATCTCTTTGTAGTGAGCGTTTAACCAATAAGGGTAGCTTTAGGTTGCTCAACTTGCTTGTTATTCTAAGAGAGAAGAGGGGGGAAAAGGCTCCCCATTTCCCCATTTCCATCCACATACCGTGGATGGAAAACATTTGTGTGCGTTCCATCCTGCCCAGATGCAGCTGGTTAAGCGCTCCCATCCAGGACGCTGTCAACATGACCGTTTCTAGGAATAGCTGAAAGTGAAGTAGGAATGAAAAGCACAACAATGCTTTTTCTTTTCCGCAACGGAAACCAGAAGAGTAGCGAGTTTGCAGGACCTTGCTGTTTTCAGGTAACCACCTGGGGCGCAGAAATATGTTATATATATAAAAAATAAAATAAAGTTTCCAAAACCACTCCCTAACTACTCTTTCGTAACGTAATTACAATGGAATTTACAGTGAGGGAACTAGTCAGTTTGTCCTGGTATTTGGTATTTAAAAGTCAAATATGGGATAGTTTAGTGAGGCTGAAACATGAGTAAAACACCGTTAAAATGCAAGTTTATTACTTTTGTTAAGTTTTCAGCAGTAGTTTTTTTTCACGCTCTAATGCAGCAATGAAAACACTCTTGCTGACTTTTTTAATGCATACATATCCATTAATGTGTGTTTAATTTAAATTGGACAGGCAAAACCGTGCCATTCTCAGTGTGTGATGTGTGTGTGTTTAAAGGATCAAAGAATGCCTAATAAAGAATAATTCTTGTTGCTCTATTGCGTGTGTGTCTGGAGACGTGTGTGTTCTGAGAACGTTACAGACGTTTCACTCATTTTTCTGGTTATCTTTCTGTGTCTGATTCTCCTAATGATTTATGTATGGGCATGTAAAGCTTTAGAAATACTTTAAACTTGTGCGACTGTGTGTGTGTGTGTGTGTGTGAAGCCTCATCAGCCCTGTTAGTTGTTGAGAAAATGCCAGTGTGCATTGCTCGGCGCTGACAGCCAAGGCTTGAGGGCTGATCTCGTGTGAGTGCTCTGTCATCTCTCTATTGACTTATTATGGTGATGCGTTAACAGCAGGTCTGKCTGCCCTGCCTGTCTGCCAGGATGCAGCGATTTCTCACTTTGCAGCAGCGCCAAACGCTTTATGACACAAAACTTGGTGCTCGTTTGATCTGTTTTATGTACCTCTGTATCATAGAAACTATTCCTCTTGAAACAGCTTTGTCATAATTTGGTTGATTGTGATGATGAAAGAAACCTTTGATTAAAGCCGACACAGTTTTATCTCTTTTTTTCCCCCAACACACAGAGCTTTTCTATGTTGTGCTCATTCACATTGTCTTTTCAGGGTTACCTTTTACATTATAGAGTCAGTATATTGCACAGTGTTGATTCATTCATTCTTTGTCACTTTTTATGGAAACTAGCCTTTTTTTTAAGAAAAAACACACTTGTTTTTCTGATTCACCCTCTGCAGTTATTAAGACTATTTTACATGGTGAAGTAGATCAGTAATGGAAGAACAACCTGTTATACCAACAGAACATTACATGCAGTTCAGATCATGAAAGACATTACGTCAATGAGGTGTGGATTTTGGATGTTGTAACTCTGCAGATCTTTTACATGACAATAGACGTTAATTTTGCACTGGAGGGAAGGGAGAGTTCCCTAAAAGGGCAAAACACAAACAGAAAAAAAAAAAACAGAAAGCTTGTCATCAGTCTCACTTACAATTAGAATAATTTATAGGATTTCATGCTAATCTGTGTAATATTTCACCTGTCTGATCATATTTCTGTAATAAAATGTTTAAAACTGTGTGCCTCATAGGTGAAACAAATCAGTATTTCAGACACAAATCTGATTTACAGTTTTCCATTCCATGCATTCACAATATGTACCATAGTTTGTGTTTCTAACAGCCTCACTTCCTCTTTATGTTTGTGTTTGTCCAGAGATGGATAACCCAGAGGCCAGAGTGACTGAGATCCATGCTCTGGTGCACCGGTTACCTGAGAAGAACAGGCAGATGCTGGAGCTGCTGACCAAACATCTGGCCAAGTAAGCAGACATGACTGTGTGTGACTGTGTTAATTTCAGTTCTGAGGGTGCGGTTTCAGTGGTGATGGGAATCCATGTCCTTTTCATCCCCAATTAAATTGCCACACTGTATTACTTCATAATAGCTTTTTCAGAACACTCACCAGTTCTTAAGAAGTGATCATTGTGATCGCCAGTTGAGTGTTTCCCAACCGTGGCCTTTGAGGAACACCATCCTGCWTSTTTTAGTTGTCTCCCTGCTCTGACACACCTGGTTTGTATGAATGAGTGACAAGCTTCTGAATATCTGCTGAAGAGCAGGGAAACARCACCACGCAGGATGCTTCAACACACTCTAAACTTAAAACTTGGAGATTGCCGCCTTTTATTTTTAAAACCGTCTTTTAAAGGGGACCTATTATGCAAAATTCACTTTTTGAAGGTTTTTTGCTTAATTTTGGGTATGTACTTCTTAAAAAAACAGTCCTAGGACCAAAAAAATGCACCCAGGGCATATTTACTGTAAGTAAATGTATTTTTAATRTATATTAATGACAAGTTTTATACTTCTGTCATTTTGTGATGTCACAACCCGTACGACAACTCACTGGAACCTGCGTTCAGCCCCTTACCTAGCAACCCACCCCCGGGTGAGACTCCACCTCCTCAGTATAAAAAGCCGTCACCGTGTTGTTGTGCAATGCGCAGCTCCTTTCACAGCAAACCTCCAATAGGGCAATGGATAGAGTGTTGGACCAGAGAGTGGGAGACCAGGGTTAGAGACCAGCATGGACACAATTTAATTATTTATTTATTTTCATTCATGAACACATTTTCTCATGTACCTCTATTGTTTAGCTT